TTTTTTGAGGTGGGTTCTTGCTCTGTCACCCAGGCTGGAGTGCAGTGGCACAATCACAACTCACCACAGCCTCAACTTCCTGGGCTTAGGTGATCCTTCCACCTCAGCCTCCCAGTAGCTGGGACTATAGGTGTGTACTACCACATTCGGCTGTTTTTGATTTATTGTAGAGATGAGGTCTCGCGAAGTTGTTCAGGCTGGCCTTGAATCCCTGGACTCAGACAATCCTCTTGTCTTGGCCTCTCAAAGTGCTAGGATTACAGGTGTGAGCCACAATTCCTGGCCACTTTCAAGATTTCGAATGAAGTTCTTAAAGTATCTGCAGATTCAAGATGTCTGGAGATTGGGGTGTGTGAGGCAGGGTCAGGAGGTGGGGGATTTTAAGTTCTTCCAGATCTTGTCTTCAGTGCAATTCAATCTGTATTTGTCATGCTCATGTCCTTGCTGATCTATGACCCCTGATGGGCCGTGGTGATAAGACTGAGACCAGGGAAGGGGAAGAATTAGGTTATAAGCTAACCTCTCATCTCTGGCTGACTTTTCTTATTTCCGTTGCCTGTGGCTGGTTTATTTAACCTGCCCCTGGCAAAGAATTTTCAGTGACCATAACCAGGCTAATCCCGCCAACGAGCTTAAGCTAAGAATAAATGCAGCCCTGGGGACCATGGTCATTAAAAACACCTGCGTTAGGATTGTAGCCACCCCCCACAGACCCACATCCGAAATCCTTGGAGCCAGATGGATTTCAGGATTCAGAATGTTACCTTCCACCCCTAGTGGACTCTCTTGTAGTATTGTGTAATCAAGCATCTTAGTATTTCTGAAGCCCAAGGATGGATATGCACATAGAATGAGATAAAGTCTATAAATAGGTTCATGTCAGTTCAGGCTAGGTCAGGCTTTGACTCCCACTGAGTTATGTAATAAGTCATGTTTGGGAGCTTCTTGAATTTCAGGATTGTGGATCAGCAATAACAGACCCTTACCCACTTCATGCCACCGTCACCCCGTTTTCTCCTTATTACTCATCTGAAAGACAAAGCATATTCTTGTGAGCTTGCTGGAGTTCAGGATTACCAACGTCAGACTCCTTAGAAGGACATGTTATGTCATCATCCTCTCAAATGGAAATGCGTAGCTTTTGAGCCTGAAGAATTACCTTTAGGTGTTCATAATAAAAACTGGTTTATCATCCGGGCACAGTGGCTCATGCCTATAATCCCAGCACTTTGGGAGGCAGAGGTGAGAGGATTGCCTGAGCCCAGGGGTTCAGGATCAGACTGGGCAACTTGGCGAGACTTTGTCTCTACAATAAATAAAAAAAATTGGCCTGGTGTGGTAGCGCACGCCTGTGGTTCCAGTTACTTGGAAGGCTGAAGTGGGACGTTCGCTTGAGCCCAGTAGGTAGAGGCTGCGGTGGCTGTGAGTATGTCACTGCACTCTATCCTGGGTGACAGAGTGAGACTCTGACTCAAAAACAAACAAACATGGGAGGTGGAGGCGAGAGGATCGCCTGAACCCAGGGATTCGAGACCAGCCTGGGCAACTTGGCAAGACCTCGTCTCTACAATAAATCAAAAAATTAGCCGGACATTGTGGTGCATGCCTGTAGTTCCAGCTACTTGGAAGACTGAAGTGGAAGGATCTCCTGAGCCCCAGTAGGTGGAGGCTGCAGTGGTCCTGAGCGTGCCATCGCCCTCCAGCCTGAGCAACAGAGTAAGACTCCAACTCAAAAACAAACAAGCAAACAAACAAAAAACTTGTTATCAATTAGCTGAGTGTGGAAGGGTCACCTGAGCCCGGGAGACTTTGATAAGCTGTGATCGTGCTACTGCACTCCAGCCTGGGAGACAGAGTGAGACCCTGACTCAAAAACAAAAAACAAGAAAACAAGAACTGGTTTATGAAAGTTTGGCAAATGAGCAAGTTCCCAAGAATGTTGGAATTTTGTAGATGGAGGGGCCTTGAGGGGGGTGGGTGTGGTGGTGGGGGGGTGGAGGATGTTCTTCCAT